GTATGCGAGGTATCAATAGGAGCTTGTTCATTTCTGTCGCGGGAGAGGGACTTATTTTTTTCTTCTTCTTGTTTTGGACCTGGAAAAGACATTGTTGCCTATGAGTTTCGTATCTCCACATTGGAGTTGTGCGAGTGAGTGGACAGAAGGGCTTTATAGAGTTTCCTCTTTTATTAGGGACCACTGGTTTGATCTAGATCGTTCGACTTACCTCCGCGGCAGGAGGTGAAGTCCTTGGTTTTGTGGGATTCGTTTTGAGAGGTTATGATTGATACGGCGTGAGACGCCACTTATTTACCAATGTGTACATTTTCTTAGGGTCTTGGAGCTAGCAGTAGTATTTAGTAGTTATGATGTGACTCACGTGTTCGGAATGGTTAGACCGTGTGTTTAGAGTAGACATAGAGATTAATGTGTATATGTGTGCTTAAGGATTAGACCTGAGGATAAGAACAACATTGGTGTTGAGGTTGGATCGATGATGGGAATGGCCTAGCCAACCATTTCTCTGAGTCAATCTTTCCTTAACACAATGTCGGGTCAAAGGTCAACGATAATTGAGTTTAATATGTTTAGTGACAGTCGGAGTATGGTGTTGTGCGTTGCGTACATGTAGTAGTACAATCCCATTTTAGAGTGAGTCTCGCTTGGGATTGATGGTATTCTTTGTACGTGTTTAGGTGACTTATTGTGGATGGTGGTGTACTCAATATGAGACTACGTGTCCGAGGAGTTTCAGTTGTTAGATCAGTTGATCCTTAAGCTATGCTGATGGGTTGTTTTCCCGGGTACCTGATGGTACATTTGACAGATTGGATAGTTCTCTCGATTACAGTTATGGGTGTTAAGCGCAGATTGTGTGGGGCGCTACTGGTTGGACCTACCGTGTATGGAATCCAACAGTTTTCTGGTGGGATGTCTCGTGTGGACAGTGTTAGTGCAATTTTATGAATCGGGTTGGTTTTGACCGAGGTTGAGTGTTTTCCCTTGATCTCAAGTACGGAAGTAGATGGTTGAGTGTCCTACTGACTTGGATTGAAGAATTCTTTTCATGATGCGTGTATTCGTATGGATTGACTGAAGTTGTTGTTTACGGATTTAATATCGATTAGTGGTATGTTCTGGTTAGAAGGGGGACAATCCTAATGGTTCTCAGTGGTCACGACTTAGTGGAGTCACGGAGTTGGTTTGGAGCTTGTGCCTCGTGTGCTTGGTATGTGGCTGTAGAAAATTTTGTTTGGCATAGGGTGTGCCCTTATGCCCAGTTAATGTTGTGGGGGATGAAATTATGTGTGGCTGTGGTCACTGTTCGGTCGAGGTTGTGTTGGGTCACAAGCATAAGGTTGCGAGTGACATGGGATGTGAGATTATTTGGATTGAGATTTTGAGGTATAGCGTGTTACGTAGGGTACTCAAAGACATACTCCGTTTTTGTATCCTTTCATTTTCTCTTAGGAGGTGGGTTGATTTCGGGGACGAAATCTTTGAAAGTTGGGGAAATTGTAATGTTACCGATTTTCCCTATTTTCTATTTCTGGAATTTATTTGATTTTTCTGGATTATTTTTAATCCTTACCTTGTTTTACATGCCACGGGGGCCCCGAGTGGCGTTTTAGTCATTTTTTTGAGCCAAGGGTTTTAGAAGCATATTTTTAATCATTTTAAATCAATTAGAAGTGACGGAATTATTTTTAAAATTTTTGGAAGTCGGGACAATTTCTGGACTCGGGAACTTCTCCCGGTTTTGTCATTTTAAGAAAGGAGCATAATGGACTTTTCTCACATATATGTATACATCTAAATCTATATATTAGAGGTAGATATTTATGAGACAAAGGAGACAATGTATGGTTTGAAGAAGGGCAAGATTGTAACTTTTCACAAAATTGGAAATCAACCAAAAGTTGACACATGGCAAGATCATACCGTCACCTTTCTTCCTCCTTCATTTTTGGCACTATGTTCTCTCCCTCTAACCATTCTCTTTTCTTTCTATATCTATCTATATTCACTAAATGTCTTCCACCCTTTGATCTTGATTTTGGAAACGTTTGAGTTAGATTTTGATGGAGATAAAGGAGGGAAGTTGGAGAGCTTGGCATAAGCTTCAAATTAAGGCCAATATTGCTGGGTTTAAAAGGACTTCGAAATTTGGGCCTTGCTAAGGCCTTGTTTGGCTTGCTTTAATGAGGTAGGGAAAGTCTAAATTATGAATCATATGGTTTTAATGAGTTCCTATGTATTTTCTTACATGAAAATCTTGATATTATGAAGCTTGCTTAGTTTGTAAATTTTTTTGTTGTGATGTTAAGCATGAGATGGTATTAATCTAACTACTTGGGTTGAGAATATGATGGTTTATTTTATTTGTGTCAATCATGCTATTTTTCTATGATGAAATGTGAAAGTATGATTTGTATGATTGACTTCATGTTTTGGATGTTTTAATAGGATGATTATGATGTATATCATGATTTTTAGATTGATAATGGTTGTATGACATGCATATTCTTAATTGGCATGGGGTGAATTGAGAGGGTAAAGGTTTTATGTGGGAGAAAAGGTTAGGAAGTGAGATGAAGGAGGGTATTGCAAGTTAAGGTGGTGGTTAAGAAGGTTTTAGTAAGGATTGGGTTCAAAGGGAGGAAAATAACATTTACATTTCATGTTTGATGGTATAGTTTGTGAATTGGTGAAATTCATGTATGATTGGTATGACCCATAATCCATGATCCATTTTTTTTGATTCCCTTTCTTTAGTTATGGCTCACGGGATTTTTAGAAATGTGATTTAGGCTTTCTCTACTGAGTTGTTGAGCTCACCCTATCTTTATTAACATTTTTCAGGGGCTTGGAGATGAGCCGGTGAATGATATGCATTCATGGATATCGACGTAGTTAGGATTTCATTTTATTCATAATAAAGCTATGTAATTTTGACCACAGAGACCTCATTCTTTGTATTTGATTATTTGGAAATTGTATAAAATGATATTTGTATAATTCGGTCTTCAAACGATGTAGTGGACTTGTATTCAGTTTAATTGAAGGCATGGGGTTTAATTATGTTTTTACACTGTTAATTTGCATGTTCGGGACATGTTTAGACCTTAAATAAGGTCAGTAAGGGACCATAGGCTTGTTCATGCATTCAAGTATTCAATTTTAGGCTGTTTGGGGCAATTTTGAGGTTCTGGGTATCTTAAACCAGTTCAGCCCCATTGAACTGGTTCAAGGGGGGACCTTTGGTTTGAGGATGAGCATTCTGCCCATCATGAACTGATTCAGCTCCACTGAACCAGTTCAAGTCCCCGGGTGCTCTCAAGTGGCTTCTTCAGTTGACAGCTTCAAACACTTGACTTCGAACAATCATAACTTCTTCGTTCCAAACCCAAATAGGGTCATTCTTGAGTCCATTTTCAAGGATTTTGAGTTATCTTTCTAATGAGACCAACCTAATCTTCAAATTCCATCCATGTTGAGAGTTATGGTTGTTTTAATGCAACAGTGTCAGAATTTGCCTTGAACCGGTAAGGACACTTTTGGGAATTCATATCCGGTGACTGTAGAACCTCACCGAGCATCATGGAATGACTAGAATAGTTTTTTTAAACCTCATTTGACTAGTTTAAGGATGGATTATCCTTTTAGATTGTAAAAAGACCATTTTACCCCTAGTATATCCTCGGGTTCGGGTAAGGACCCGGTTAGCGATCCGGATCCCCGGTTTAGGTCATTACACCTCAAGTGTTCAAGTATTGTATTCCATTCTTACCCATATGTAAGCCCAAGCCTCCATTTGGTTTCGACGTATGTAGAGGAAAAATTTGGAACTTGCCACAAATATTAGCAACAAGTGGTAACTTTTCAAAACTCCTTTTCGTTCTATGTCCTAACTAAGATCTATAGGATAGATTAAGTAGTGTTACACGCACACAATTTTCCCCTATAGGGACTTGAACCCTTAACCTTTCGCTCGGGAAGTTGAGGAGATACAACTAAGTTACAACCCTAAATGGTTTTGAACTTTGAATTCTACGACAGTTGCTCTTGTATATAAAATGTAAATAATGCTTAAAGCATTTTTCTGATGGATTGAAATCCTTTCTAATCCATGTTACATTTGACGACCTGTTTATCTGCTAGGGTGGTGATGTGGGCACGCAGTACCGCTGAGGGATATACTACTACAATGAGGCCCAGGCTCAGCAAGCACGTGAGTCAATGGAATCTAAGCAGATGGAGCTCAAAGACAGTAAGATTGTGACAGAAATTCTTCTAGCAAAGAGATTTTATAGAGCAGAGGAGTACCATCAGTAGTATTTGGAGAAGGGTGGTGGTCGCGGCTCAAAACAATCTGCTGCAAAGGGCTGCAATGATCCCATCAGATGCTATGGCTGACAAAATATGTATGCTTAAACATTCCCTAATTGAATTTGGTTTGTTACATGGTATGTTGATCATACCAGTCTCAACTATGCCATTCCTCATATTGTGCACTGGGCACAATATCTTGAACAGAATACAGAAATAATTCCTTATTTATTTTGTGTTTATGGTTGGGATAATTATTGCCATCTCAGAAGAATGTAATCATCATTTTGTCGTTCAAGTTATCTGCCTATAACATGGATGAACATGGATGATCTCTGTAGAGGATAGCCCATTGCATTGATGTCATAAATGACAAAATATTAAGTTGTGACCGAAAATTGTTTCGATAGCATACTCTTTTTTGGCTCAGCATCTTGCTAATGTTATCTTGTTCATTTTTGCATAAAACTTACATATGACTTCTGACTTTTAATTATCTACTTTTTCAACCTTGCAAGTGATCCTTATTTTATATTCGTTCTCTAAGTTGATAGCAGAAATTGCTTTAAGTTGTTAACTGATGCATCATTTTAATGCTTGAGGAAGTTGAAAACATAGAGGCCAAATTTGAAGTTATCCTCCTTGGCTCCTGCTGCATTACAGACAAGCGTCATCCTATCCAATAGTGAAGAAAGTTGAAAATAATTTATTTAATCCTCAAAATCCAGATAGAGTTAAGGAGATACATTAGATGAGACCATCATCAAATCAGTCTCACAAATTATGTACTTTTATGGGGAGATGAGGGATGCAACTTTAGCAGAGATGAAATAACGGCCGAGACTGAAAAGCGGTGCTTAATATATGGTATCAATGTGGTTCAGAGTTCATCCTTAGGAGGAGATGGAGGTCCTTTAGGGTTATTTGAGGAGGTTTTGATAGGATACGAGGCCTGCATCGCTATACCACACAGTCCCTCTTTTGCAGAGATGCCACGCTGCATCCTGATGTAACCCTTCTCTCCCCATTCAGGACCCCATGAGTTCTTTACTGTCCAGTATTTTGTCCCATCAAGGGTTGTTCCGTAGCCCACTATTGCCACCCCGTGATCCAGTTCAGTGCCGCAGTCTCCACTAAATACTCCCTGTGTTCCAGTTGAAAACAAATCTCAGAAATTATTCAATTCCTTGTTTAAAACTGAGCTGTTCAATCCTGTTTTAATTAGAATTGTTCAAAACATGAGAATATTATTCTATAACTCTAGCTTCTGTCTCAGATGATTCAAAATCGTTTATATAATGGTTGTTTACAGCCTCCAGTCATAGTTGTTATTCTCCAAGATGTGTTTGTCTTGATAGAAACTTTCGAAAGCAAAATTTAGAACTTTATTAAATATCCCCCCGCCCTTCTTTTTTTTTTCAAAATTCCAAGTTTCTTTCAATTTTGCAGGTTGTTTTAATTCTTGAACAATTATGCAAATGAAATGAAAAATAAAAAATACAGGTTTGGCACGTTATATTTGGTGGCAGAAGAAAAGCAGAGTTCTTCTGATGAAAGTAATTTCATGGCTTATGGATTTACCTCCGAGTAGAACTGGAAATCAGAACCTCCAGCATCTATGCCGACAGACACAGGTTGGTTAGCTACGGCTTTCAGCAGTGCATCCTCATCATTAGCAGGTACGTTCTCGTGTCCATCAATTGAGACTACTGGAGAATTCTCCTGCAAAATAATCAAATTTAGTCCTGCAATATCAGAATCAAAGCTGTAAATAATTTTACTGAAATATTATTTGAACCTTAATTAGGTATTGCATATATTATGTACCTTTGAAGCATCACAAGTTCCGTCTTCGGCTGTGTAAGGATAGTTACCCTCTGTATTTAAGCCTCCCTTCTGTTTGATGAACTTGTATGCATAATCCATCAGCCCTCCATTACAGCCTTGATTTTCCTTGGTGTCACAGTCAACCAGCTCTTGTTCGGACAAAGAAACTAACTTACTTGTTTTGATTTGGTTTATACCTTCAACTCCAACAACTGTTGAGAATGCCCAACAACTACCTGTGACATCAACAAGAATTATTGAACAACAAGCAATTTGTTTCATGCATATTATGTGACACATACAAGTTGTTTTTTTTGGCAAAAGGACAATTATGCCCCTATATGTGTTCCTGTGGCATGCTATGAATTCTGATTGGCGAATAAGCGAATGGTGAAATGGCAACTTAGGGTGAGGTGAACATGGTAGGAAATGAGGATATAGGCTTACCACATTGTCCTTGGTCCTTGACATCTGTGACAGCACCTTTCTTTCTCCAATCAATGGAGGTAGGGACTTTATTGACCTTCTCATACATGAAGGTCCCGTTCCCTTGGGGGCTTCCCCGGAGCATACTGTGGTGTTTAACCTTAGAGCCCGCGTAAACGACCTTGAACTCGTGGTTAGTCATGTCTGCAAACTTGTTCAACTTCAACTTGTAAGGCTTGTCCTTCTTGTTAAACTCGTGAACGTGGCGAACGTTCTCCTTGAACACATTGAACCGCTTGTGCTTCTCATCGAGGTTCCTTGACAACGTGTGGTGGCTCCTCCACCTCTCGTACAAATCCCAGAACCTCTCCTCGGTCTCCAATTCCTCTTCGAGGAAATCGAAACTCTTGCCAAGTCCGAGAAGCAGAGCGAGAGAGAGAGCTACTAGAAGGAACTTCATTGCCATTGCTCACAATATGTGATTTTAGGGGATATACTAGAACCTCCTTATATAGAAGAGTGACTTGAGAAGATAAGAATGAAGGTGGAAGAACACTACAAGTGAAATAAATGAAAGAAGTTGAAGGTTTCTTATGGGCATGAACAATCAATAAGATAGTAGACACCAAGATAGGGTATGACTATAATTGAGCAGATGCTATATTTGGTTATGTGGAATTAAATCTAGCAACTTTTTTTGTAACTAGGTTTGGTTAAAGTCCAAGAACTTAAAGGAAGAAAAGAAAGGATAAAAGTTTTTTAGTCACTGCGTAGTTGTCAAAGTGTGTGAACATAGAAAACTTGTGGGGATTGTTTTGTGCAGTATAGGGTGATCCTTGCATGCTAAATACGTTATTTGAGTTATTTATCTAGAGAGAGAAAGTCTAGAGAGAGAAACATGGGAGGACCCCGTGAAGGGTCATGGTTACATCATATAGAGTCCACGGTTTCTTGCGAGTTGTGGATATAAAGACCTTGTAACTGATTTCTCTGTTACTTCAAAGTTTAAACTAGATTCTGAAAAAGACCGAAAATAAGAGAACTGAATGAGAGGAATGCGTGAGTAATTCCTCTCTCTATTTATATGTGTGTGTGTGTAATATGCATGCATGTGTATGGGTCATGATATTGTCCCGTTACTTTATTTATTTATTTTGTCCCATGTGTTTAAATTCTCAATGCAACAACTTTAAATTGACAACACAACAATCTTAAATCGACACATTTTAATGTGTTGAAATCTCTACTTAATGGTGTTGTAGTGCTACAACACCATGTAATATATTGTATCATTATTGCATATTCAATGTAAATATATTGTATATTGAGAGGATTGGATCCCATGCCTGTGTTTGTAGAGAATCATTGGATCTTTGAGTTTTTGTACTCCTTCCGTCTCATAGTAAGTGTCATATATTGTGAAGCACGACTCACAATAATAGATCATGTTAATTAACAAATATGGACTTGCAAAATAGTGGAGACCCATCTTTCAAAAAATTGAACTACGTACGTCGATTGCACTAAAACTTAAAATTTTGTTTCAACTTTTGTAAGATGATGAACTGGTTAGGATATTTTTGTCCATTCTTTGAAGTAATATGCCAACCAAAATTACTGATATGCCTCAAGAAATCGAATTGATTCTATACTATGTTATGAGTATCAAGGTAGATCCGTGATCTAAGAACTACTACGTATTTAGATAAAGGAATGCTAAGTGTAGTCGCAACTGCACTTGCATCATGATACTAGGCATGATCTTGGGCAATGAAAGAAAATTTATACTCGTTTCCAAGTGCATTGGTGAGATTTGGAAGGTAAATCGTTGATGTTATGCTTTTTAATTATATTAATAGTTCGAATGGTAAGTATATTATGAGATAGATATATATTTTTTAAATAAAACTTATATATACTATACTCATTATATAAGAGGAGTCAAAAATAATAAAAAAGGGTAAAAGCCTTTTCATTGATTTGATGGGTAATAAAATAAATGGTGATTTTTTTATTTTGTTTTATTGGAATATAATTTTTAAAATTCTATGGAGGTTGTAAGATTTAAAAATTTAATTGGCTAGAAAAGTTGAGTTGTTACGTATGATAACATCATTGGGGTGGGCCAAAACTGATGACAACAATAATAATGGTGAAGACATCGCTTGTAGGACTACTCTACCGTAGAGTATTGGGATCTATCACTTGTGAGTTTCAGTTACATAAAAATGTACACACATCCATATATTCATAAATGCCAAATATCATAAATGGTAAAACAATAAATTAATCATTTAATTACAAGGTTTATAATGTCAAATACCATAACAGTGGTACTGGTAATGGACATTTCATATTAAGACTTTTTAAGCCAAGTAGATTACTTTTTCGGTTCTTTTTATGTCTTTGAAAAAAATATTCAACATTTATATGTATAAATTTAATTATAAATGTTATTCACAATCATAACAAAGTTATATTACATAAATTTAATGGGTGCTTCAATCAAACTTCAACTAGAAATATCAAAAATTATTTTTGAAAAAATATTAAGATCAAATTTCATATTTCCACCAATATTGATGATATATATCAATATTTTTAAGGATGTTTTAGACCCATGTTCCAAGCTCATGGATGAACATGTACCATGTCAAAGAGTTGCATCCTCCAAGCTCATGGATGAACATGTAGTAGCATGACAAACAGTTGTAGTCACTCTTGCCTATTTGGGATAAGAATGCCAACAATTGGAGCAGTTGTCTAATTTTATTTTATTTTATTTTATATATTATTATTTTATTTTTATCTCTAAAAATTCAAGCAAACGTAGACATGCATGTCATATTGTTCATAATAGCGCTCAAACACTAAATATCCTTTTTAGAGAAGGGATATCATATTATTTGGATTAATACTTATTAAGAAAGGGACTAACCTGGACCACATAGGATTAGGGGCTTGACCACAGGCCTAGCTGATGCCTATATATATTAACATCACATTTCATCTTTACACCAAAATTGTATATCCCAATATTCTTGAGGATGTTTAAAATCATGTTCCAAGCACATGAATGAACATGTAACACGACAAAGAGTGTTAATAGTCACTAATGACTAATTGAGTTGAGAATGCCCAACAATTGCAGTAGGCCCAGAAAAGCAACCCAAATATGTTTGTGTGTGTGTGCTTTTTCTCTCCACTTTAAAGGTTATAATCTGACCTAGACCTATCATGTCAAAGGTGTCATTCCGGGATCCAGTCGAGTCTCGGCTGATAAAGGGATACCTTTTGATGACATTGGAGTATATATATATATAACTCTTTACACATAAATGTGTCTTTCAAAAATACTTGATAGGGCGTAACTTTTACTCTTAATTTTTTCAACTTTAGAGCGGCTGCAATACCTCTCTCAAATGTCCTTTCAAGCTCAAAATATGAGATATTATTTTTTCTCAAATGTCCTTTCAAGCTCAAAATATGAGATATTGTTTTTTTGATATACTTCAATAGTGTGTCATACAGCCTTTCAAAATATGAAATTCTTAAAAACATTATCATATAAAACAAGTTGCTATAAGTTGAAAACTTGAGATGTCAAGTTTTTTGAATTCTTGTGCAGATATGGGCTGAAAAATCACATGAAAAAACAAGGATATTGCATTTATTAAAATAAGGATAATGCACAATTAGAATATGATTGTTAAAATATAACATTTTAGATGTAATGTATCATTAAAACATAATTATTAAAATATAACATTTTGGTACTGTACATCTAAATCCTCTTAAAATATAATTTTACAATGGAGAAATAACATTTTACATTGGAAATGCTCTTATATAACCCAAACTCCTTTCAGTTCTTATATAACAGTATATTTAACATATATATGTGCAGTAATCCCATCATGTACCGTCCATGATTCGCAGTCGCACTGTAACGGACTCAGACGAATATCAATATAAACCGGCCGCGTTTAACGGTTATTGAACTCTTAAAAAAGTGTTACCACTCATTTCAATTTAGTTTCTCCTATTGCAAGACGCAGCAAACCTGACAGATTTTAAACAAAATTTAAAAACTTAGACTTAAATATTTTATAAGCTGAAAACAAAAAAAAAAACAAAACAAAAAAATTATGCAAAACATTAATAAAATAATATACAGCAAAGATTTAATTGGAAGAAGAAAAATAAAATGAGTTAGTTACTTGACTTAAATATTTACAATCACTTTAATTCACATCATGCCCCGCGGGGGGGGGGGGGGGGGGGGGGGGGGGATGAGATGAGTTGGTTAAATGATGATTGAGGAGCATGCTAAGTTTTAAAATTGCCTTAGCTGAACTTGACTTGGCTCGAGCTTCCTTCCATCCTAGGGTTTGAACTCGGTTTGGTTAGGTTCACAAATTACTCAGGCTCAAAACTCGCTTACAAACCCACATATATTATTATATTTACACACATATATCACACAGCACAGATAAATCAAACCCACATATATCACACAACACACACAAGCATACACAGAGATATCACAATATTTTACATGATAACCCAACTTTAGGACTACGTCCATGGAGAGTGATTTATCAAATAAGAAAATATATAACCACAAATGTCAAAATTCCACACATTTGCTCATCTTTTTTGCTCATCTTTTTTCCTAGAACATGAGAACCCTCTTCCCCTCTCCTTGTTTTTTTTAACCAGGCTTAGTAAAACAATTTTCTTATACAACTATTCCTAAACACCATACAAATGAACCATTCAATATAAAATCATATTATAACAAGAATAATTTTATGGAAACTACAATTGTCATATGAATAGATTTTTCTCAAATCCTACATGACATAACATAAGGGTGAACTTTACTCGTTATGTGTAATTAGAGCAAGTTAAAACAACATATTGGAGAACAAAAACAGTAAACACAGACCACCTCCAAGTTCAAACAACATATTGGAGAACAAAAACACTAAACATAGACCACCTCCATGTTCAAACAACATATTAGAGAACAAAAACACTCAACATAGACCACCTCCATTTCAGAGCTTAAACCAGTTAACATTGGGTACAATTCTATATGCTTCCCAGACACTCTTCTAAGAGAATGATCCCTTAGCCCTCTGGATTTGATAAGAACCATCATAAATTCTCATTGTTCTAATTTTCATTGATTTTTTTGATTGCATGCACTATTAAACAGTGTTAGCTCCACTGAAAACTGAAAAGAGATTGACCCACCATTTAAAAATACTAAATACATACACCTTTAATCATCAAAAAACCACAACACATGCATGAATAGGGGCGTTTTATGAAATATGTATTGTTCCCCCCTTTTCGGCCACAAAAATTCCTTTAAGTTTAAGGAGGTTGACATTAAAATATTAGAATATCCAAGTAACAACAACACTCACATCGTCTATATAAGAAATACAAACTACAGCTTAGGAACATTGAAAAATGACAGTACTTCCTGACAACTTTGTCTCAAGCATCAATCCATCCGTGCAATGCATTTTAACATTACCATGATATGCAACTCCTCTTCAGCTTCATCCCTTTGGCCTTTGGTTGTGCAGTCGCACAATCAGAACACTAGGTGATGGCACAGAAATGCAATATCCCAAGACTCTAAAGAAGGTAAGGGCACCCTTGTTTCTTGCTTCATTGAAAGGATGCAATTGGAACTAGTGGAGCTTAATGGGAATTTGGATAATAGAACTCTCTTGGCTGAAAGTTATTTATCATAGCCACAGTAGCTAATTTGGATGTGCTAGGACACATGAAGACGTACAGTTGGCATGGGAAGACTAAATGAACAATGTTCATTTTTTAAGTCAGTTTACTCCTTAACAATTATTAATTAGGATGTACCTCAAGTCTTGAAATAATTCGGTCTTCAAGAGGTGTTTGTTATATTATTGATTCAGGTGTACTTTTCTAGTAATCAGATAAGATTAATTTATTTACTTCCATCTTGCAGAGCTTAAGATTATGAGTAGTCATTTGACTTGGGCTTCACCTTTTTTTTCTTTTTTTTTTTGGCGCCTTATGGTGTTTTATTCACATATAGTTATACCGTTATATGTTTTCATATTAGATACCGAACTACTGGTTCAATTTTATAGAATGGCAAATTTGGATAGAGGTTCGGACTTGTTTTTGGAGATTCGTGAGCTCAAAAAACAACTTAAAAAGAAAGAGAGGCAAGCGCACCCTTGTTTCTTGCTTTACTTGTACTGAGTTTTTTTACTAGTAAAGCAAGAAACAAGGGTGCCCTTACCTTTGATTCATTTTAAGTTCTTTTTTGAGCTCACGAATCTCCAAAAACAAGTCCGAACTTCTATCCAAATTTGCAATTCTATAAATTTTAACCAGTAGTTCGGTATCTAATACAAAAATATATTAGTAGAACAATATAACTACATGAATAAAACATCACATTAAGGCGCCAACAAAAAAATAAAGGTGAAGCCAAGTAAAATTAGGGTGTCATACAAGAGAGCACACAATGACTACTCATAATCTTAAGCTCTGCCTGGCAAGATGGAAGTAAATAAAATAGATTAATCTTATCTGATTAGTAGAAAAGTACATATGAATATATAATATAACAAACACAAGATCGAAAGACTTGAGGCACATCCTAATTAATAATTATTAAGGAGTAAAATGATATGCAAAATGGACATTGTTAATTTAGTTAGTTTTCAGCAGCTTGAACATACCCAATGTGATACCATCATCTTTAGTTGTTAAGGTAATGGAAAAAGGAAGCATTGTTAGAACATTTCCTCAGTTACATACGAACACACAAAATTAAAGAAAAAGAATTTATTAGTTTATGAGACTCTATGTGCTGAGACGTCGTCAGTTCAAGTAAAGAGATTAACAGAGGTTCTTAATTTGGCAAAGCAAGGAGTGGGGTTTTCCATTAAAAGAAGCTAAAGTATATCCATATTCCCATCAATTTTAATGCATATCCATATTCCATGGTTGGTATATGAGTACCTAAGTGTTGGGATTTATATGCCCTAGCATAGCAAATTCTTATTTGGATTATAGTGACATATGTGCCTGACGTTTCTGATATATTTATGCTTTATACAATTGGTGAATTCAATGTATTATGTTTCGATTCATTATAGAATTGATAGTGTCCACTTGATTACAAGAGATATTTATATACGTATGTGATGGCGATCAATATATGAATATAAATAGTAATCATAAATTGTTCATAATCGGTAATTATGGATGGACTCATAATTAATTAAGACTTGAACTGAATCCGCCATAGGTTGAGATATATTGCGAGAGCCGTCGTATGCAATTGTTCCCTATCACCGTCATGGTATTTGACTTTTAAGCATGAGAAAAGTATAAACTCTTTTATTAATTAATAATTACTTTGATTTGTTCGACGGATACTTCGGGATCCTTAGACTGACACTTTGGGTAGTTATGTAATTAATAGTTAGAGAGTTATATTTTTAATATTTGCATCATTGCTACTTGTATTTATTTTGCATTGATTATGGTTGATCATAAAGTAAATTCGAAAGCCTTCGTGTGTTTTTAGACAAAATGATTTATTATATATTTATTTATTTAAATTATTATTTTTGTCAAACAAATGTTTTATTGGGATCGAGCCAGATATAATCAATGGTACCAAAATAAATATATTAATTAAGTAGTCGAATTGATGGCTTTATTTATTCAATAACTAATTATGCATAGAGAGGTCAAAGTGCAACATTGACTTAGAGGTTATTTATTATTTAATTGGAGTTCAATTAATTTCTTTTAGTGGAGTAGAAATTAATTTATGAATTAATTGAATTGAGTCTATGGACCGGATCAATTATTAATTCATTGTAGCCAATAAAATAATAAGCCCAAAGGATTCTCAATCATAGCCCAACTTGATATTGGAATCCTATTACATTTGAGACATGTGAATTAGAGATTGAGAATGATTTATTATTTCTTTTTCTTTATCTTTATGTTGCCTATATATATATATGGTCTATGTATATTTTAGGGTGATTTTTGGAAGAAGGAAAAAAGAATATATTTTCTCTTTCTACAAAATTAGGGTTAGTGTTCTCATTTAATGGAGGCTCCCACAAGCCTAGTTTTCCAAGGTCATTCATGGAGTGGAAGCTTATGAGTGATTCCTAAAGGCAAAACAATTACCGAGAAGATGGAGACTCAAGGAGAAAGTATCTTGCTAAGGGATCTACAATAAGTGAAAACATTCACTTTAGAGGAAAGATTTAAAACTTTACTCAGACCTTTGATGTAAATATTCAATCTGTTAATTGAATGAAATATCATGTTTTATTCTTGCATAAAACTTGTCTCTATGTGATGAACCAAGATCTGTGAATGAAAATCTCTCGAAAAGTTTTTAAAACTAGCACGTTTCCCAACAGTGTATCAGAGCATGGCTTGATTCATTACTAGAGATCATGTTTTTATCAAAATTCATCATTCATGGATCCAATTTTGATATACATATATTTATTTATTGATGTATGTTGATATATGAATTAATATATTGATACATGATGATGTAAATATAATTGTGAATGGATGACAATGTGTGTTTGGGCTATGTATAAAGCTTATAAGTTATTGAATGTAATTTTATCTTTGGTTGAATGTAATTAAGGCTTTGGTTTAGCCGTTTGAAAGTTCAATGATATAATTTAATTTTTTCCATTGTATTTCAAATTGTAAATTTATTTAAAGCCATGTAATCTTCGTCAAAGGATGCTCTGAAGCTTCAAGAAGGTCCAAGAGCGTTAAATTAGGCTTCAGGAATTTTTTGGGATTTTTTAGAAATTTTTCGGAATTTTTCTAAAATTTTTAGGGCCTAAATAATATTTTCTGGAATTCATCGGCAATTTTCCGGCAACCGGAGTGTCGCCGGCGGCGAGGGCAGTGCCGGAAAGGAGGTTGGTTAATCCCATGCTTTGCGGTGCAATCGGAATATCAGCCACACGATTGAGGTCCAGATCTAGTGCAGCGCACCAAAGAAACACTCCGGCCCGTGCTCCTCACACGCCGGACCTTAGTACCTTGCTGGCGCATGAAGAACACGCGCCAAGCAAGGCTTCCATCTCCATGCGCGCACGTGCACGCACGTGGAGGCGCGTCCACACAAGTGCCAGCACTTGGAGGCGCGTGCCACGCGCCACTTGATCACCCCAGCGCGTGTGGGGTCCTCCGGGCGCATTCCAAGCGTTGTTTTGCTTCTCCTAGCGCGTATAAGCTCCCTACAGGTGTTTACAAGCCGTTGGTGGACGCCCGTACAGCAAAACATCATTTAAATGTTAAAAGCTAAGTCCATTGGCCATTTTATTTGCTTTATCTGTCATTTATTTATTTATGTGATGTATGAAATGCATAGAATAGATAATTGTTAAGTATATCAGATTGTAATTTTATAGAGAACTAATGGATAATATGATGCCTTAATTTAGTACAAGGATGCTAAGCATATGGTTTGCTACAAGCGTAATAGAATGATGAAAAAAAAAAAAAATTCATTCAGAACAAATGCATTTGCAGCTTCTGTAAAGATGAATGCAAGAACTATTTGACAAATCCACAAAAATACCAAATAACAAATGTAACATTTTGCATTGCAGAAACATCGACTTAGAATAAGAGGTCACCTTCAAACTTGGATTCAGATACTTCGATGATCCGCGATGCTACTTAGCAATCACCTGAGATAGAAATTTGATTACATGTTTTAGATCCAATGATGATTTCAGTAAATAAGAATTCAGAAAGAGTTGTAAATTTCATTGTGGCAGAGGGATTAAATAATTCAATTTCTAAGAAATTCATGATATATATATATATAACTCTGATTTACTAAAATAATCCAAACAATCATACATATCTTCCAGATCAAATGAAATATACTCATAAAATGAAATATACCTAAATTTAAACATCATGCTTGCACATCTAAAACCCTAACAAATCAGTGGTAGAAATCAAAGAAGCTGAACAGTCCCAAATCAAATCGAATAGAACAACTAAAAAATCAAACCCTAAAACTCCATCAAATAAACCTAATTGATCAATGACTTACCTCCAAATTGCTCCTTCTGCTCAAACTCTCACAAGGTTGTGTCCTTTCTCGCCTTCTCGCCAGAGTTACTCACATCAACACTGGAAAATGTGAGAGAAGAAGAATAAGAGGAGTTAGGTACCTAATGATTGAGGAGGCATGATATGATATTTAGGGTAGATAGAAACGATAGAGAGAGAGTGTGTGTGTTGCCTTTAAAATCAGAAGATGGAGAGATGTATAAGGTTAAGACAAAGATGGAGATGTGTCATGGAGATAAAAAGACGTAAAAAAATGTGTAGGTGTCTGGGAAATGGAGAAGATGAGAGTGAGAGAGGACAGTCCGTGAACTGATGGAGAAGGGAGAGAGTGTGAGGAAGAGAGAGAGAGAGATGAGATAAGATCATCATCTACAGAGGACAGTCCATGAACTGATGCATAGATATATATATATATATATATATATATATTGTATTCATCCAAAATATTGTTTACGTTTTTTGAAAAGGTTGATGTAAAAATTAAAAATGCCAGCTACCATGAAAATGACAATGCATGGGGGGTTTGGGTCATATTTACTGTACTCATCACACAACTGCCTGAAAACCAAGAAAAGCACTATTTTTACTGTAAAAAAGCACTATACAGCGTTTAGCTGCTACGTTTCCCAACAACTCTTATTATTACTATATTTCACTGTTAAAAAGTCAATTTTTTTTTTTTTTTTTTTTGACTTTTTCAAAAAGCTAGCTGTAAATATTAAAAATGCCAGACAATGCATGGGGTTTGGGTCAGATTTACTGTACTCCATCAGGACCATCACACAACTAGCTGTAAACGAATAAAAGCACTATTTTTACTGTATAAAAGAGCTGCTATTAGTATATTTCACAGTTAAAAAATCAAAAAAAAAAATTAGTCTCTCGATTGTGTGTGGGGGTGCACAAACGCTGCTTAGGATTTTTTTAGAGTACGATTTTGGTTATGATTCCCATCCTAGAGCATATGCACCAAAGTTCATTTGTGACGATGATGAGGCCCAAGCGCACTGTAGCGGGCTAGTAAAAATGAGTGGAGTCCATTTCGGCTCACGGGATGGCTCACGGTATTAAGCCCGATCATGAAAAAAAAAAATTTGTCTTTTTTCCTTAGCGAAATGGTGCGTTTTTGCCTGCGATTTACTTCAGGCTGCAAAGGCACTGTTTGGCCGCCTAGTTTTTTTTTGGAAAAACTCAAAAATAGGTTATTTTGAGCTCATTTTTTTATTAAAAAATAAAATAAAATTCAGTAAATAAGAAATATATTATTTAGGCTCTATTTGTCCCAAAAAAAAAAATATTTATTTGGGCCAAAAATAAATTAAAAAACTTTTTTTTTTTGTTTTTTCCCCTAAAAATTTGATTTTTTTTTTTAAAAAAAATTTGCTTTAAATTTTAAATTGCTGCCATAAACAATGCATTTGGTCCTTAATGCATTGTTTGGCTGACACAAACAGTGTCTTAATGACTATAATTTTTATAAAAAAAAAGTTCAAAAAATTCAATTTGGTAAAAAAAAATTTTAAAAAAACAATTAGAATTAAATTTTCATTTTCTTATTCCCATAGAATTTGTAACCTTTATTTTCTTATTCCAATTCATTATTTTTAATCTTAAAATTTAATTTTTTTTTTTTTTTTTTGGAGAGCGAGAATTCAGACAGCCTAATGAAGTTTATATTTTTTGAGAGCGAAAGTTGCTGACGTGACTCTTGGAATTGCTGACGTGGCTCTTGAAAAAGCCGAAGTGGCATTTTTAGATAGCCAAAATCCAAAGAGGCTAAGTGTAGATGGCCTTAGAGCATCTCCAATGGGCTCTCCGTATTTGCCACATTAGTATTTTTCAATAGCCACGTCAGTATTTTCCATAGCCACATCAACGTTTTAAAATCTTCAAATTTTAGCTATTGCATGTACTCCAATGGTGCATTTTTTCTCTTAAAAAATATTAATACTTTAATATTTTAAAGTTTTTTAATAAATTTTATTTTTTAATTTTTTCCTAACATCTATATTTATAATAGTTATATTTTTCATCTTATATAAACAACCATTTGTTTATTTCATCATCATTAATTAAATTATTTAGCCAATATGTATGAAATCTTGTAAACAATACAATATCTAATATTATTTGATTTATTAATTTATAGTGAAAATAAAGACACATTTTTTTTAATAAAAAATCATATTTTAAAATAAATTTCAATTTGTTAGAAAAACCAAATTAAAAAAAAAAAATTTGTTTGGTTAGCCAATATAGCCGTTAAGACACTGTTTGGGTACGCTAAACAGTACCTAAAACGGCTATAATGTCAATAGAAACATTGAAAATTTTGAAAATGAAATAAAATCACTTTTTTTCAATTTTTTATAACTTTTTTTTGCTCAAAAAAACATTTAAGGCACTATTTGTGTCAGCCCCAGGCTGATCAACTGCAGGCTAATCAGACGTAACATCAGATACCAGCGGAGTACTAACCAATCGGAGGGGCCAATCAGAATGTGAATTGGCGACCACTTAATCTGATTTATCAATACCAACCACAGGTATGTTAGCCCCAAGAGGGGTGAGATAATTTTAATGTTAGTTTTAATTTTCCAGCGCCTCAGCCTTAGGCGCCGTATGTGCCTCAGCCTCAGGTGTCGTATGTACCTCAGCCTAAGGCACCTTATATGCATCAGCCTCAGGCACAACAACCAAATCATCAACCCTTGATGGTTGATAGAAATCAATTAGTTAATTTAATTCAAGAAACTTATGGACCAGCCCTAAGAAGAGTTGGTCGCCTTACATATAGAAAGACATATTCGGATTATATAGACCGATATAAGTTTTCAAGAGGTTACTGTTGAGGCTAAAATTTGCGCAGTTCGATACGATACCGCTTTCCTGCAAGGAAGAGAGGAGAAGATCGATGAACCTTGACGGCACCGGTGTGGTGCCTGCCAAGAGCTCTCCGACGATCAAATTAGTCACGGAGGTCTAAAAAGAAGGCAAGGATCAATAATAGTTTTTACGTCGTAGCTTCTTAATGGCTTAATGCCCTATTTATGGCTGTCGATTGGAATCAAAATCGTTCCGCTGATATCGATGGTTGACCTTATCTTCCGCTTGTGCGAAATCATAGGAGATTTATTACCAGATTTGTCGGGATATGATTTAATCCTTTTGACCTCCTCTAGTTATAGTAAGATTATTCTTACTTGTTGAACTACGTCAGATTTGATTTCATTATCCTTGATAATGAAATCTAATCAATCTTATCGAGAGTAGAGTAGGTTTATATTTTTCCCTATCAGTTGCTCCCCATTCCCAAGCTTGCACGTCTAGCTTGGGAATGTAATAAATAATAATAATACTTTTTCTTTTTCTTTTTCTTTTTCTTTTTTTTTTCCAACCCTGGTGAACAGTACCCGTGGGTACTATTCACAAAAATAGTAACTTAGGGATTTTTTTTTTGCACCCGAGGGAACAAGGTACTTTCATGAACAGTACCCGCAGGTACTGTTCCTGAATAGTTCCTTTTTTTTTTTTTTTGCACCCGAGGGAACAGTACCCGCGGGTACTGTTCATGAATAGTAATAATAATTTTTTTTTTTTTTTTCCAACCCCGGTGAACAGTACCGCGGGTACTATTCCCGCGGGCACTATTCATGTGAATAGTACTCAGGGTTTTTTTTTTTTTTTCGAGGGAACAGTACTCTTCCTTTTATAAGGGAATAAATTATACGAGTTTCGTCCCTTTAGTAAAGGAATTGAACTTTACGAGTTTTACTCAGCTCACCTCTTTAATAAAGGATTTTTATTTACTATCCCTTATTGTAAGGGGATATTAATTATGGGATTCATCCAACCCAGGTCCTTGTAGTACAGGACATTCATTTATTATCCTTATATTACAGGAATATGGATTACGGGATTCATTCAACCCGGGTCCTGATAATACAAGATACTTATCCCCTATAGTCCAGGGATATGGATGACGGGATTCATTCAACCCGGGTCCTTGTAATACAGGACACTCATTTACTATTCCCTTATAGTACGGGGATACGGATTACGGGATTCATTCAGCCCGGGTCCTTGTAATACAGGACACTCATTTACTATCTCCTTTTAGTACGGGGATACGGATTACGGGATACATTCAGCCCGGGTCCTTGTAATACAGGACACTCATTTACTATCCCTTATAGTACGGGGATACTGCACGTATAAACTAAAAGGAATTTTATTAAAGACCATCATTATTAAAAACAAAATAACACGTGATAGAGCTACCCTCCATTTAAAATGATTAACTAAGATGCCCCCAGTCTTTATTGTGAATGACTTGATAAGGCTAATTCCAGCCGCGAGACAATTTCTAGTCGGTATACTCATCTGAGTCATTCTCATGATATGTGCTGTCACTCTGGCTGAAGAACGATTTCTTATATTTGGTATTATTTTCATCCTTGACGAGAGGGGCTGGCCTCTTCTTGTCCTCTCCTTCCTTCCGTGCACTCATGGTGTCTTCAGCGTTGATGTGTTTTTGCGCTCTGACTAGCAACTCTATCATGCTGGTGGGAGGTTCTTTTGATAAGGAGAACAAGAATCTGGAGGTTTGGAGTCCTCCTATGAAAGCGGTCAAAGCTACCTTGTCGTCCGCCTCTTCTACCTGCAACATCTCTGCGTTGAATCGGGTGATGTATTCCCGAATCGACTCTTCCTTTTGTTGCTCCACGGTAAACAGGTAGGTAGCCGGCCTCCTATGCCTCTGACTTGCAATGAAGTGGCTCACAAACTGCTTACTCAATTCTTCGAAGGTGTTGATGGTTCCTGGCTTCAACTTGTTGAACCAAGCTCTCGCTGATCCCTTAAGTGTAATGGGAAAAGCTAGGCACATGATTTCATCTGGCACAACATGTAAATGCATAAGAGCTTGAAAAGTTTTCAGGTGATCGAGGGGATCTTTGGTCCCATTGAAGCTTTTGAACAAAGGCATCCTGAACTTGTTAGGTAGTGGACATTTCATAACGGCGGGGCTGAAAGGTAAGTTAGTCTTTTGTACCAGATCATCTACGGCGGCAGGACCTTTCCCTTTCATAGCCTGCATTACATCTTCCATTTTCCCCTCGAGATCCTTCATCTGCAAGTCGAGATGGGTAACTTTCTTTGTCTTTTCCTTAAGATAGAAAGCTATGCTTTCAGGAGGTCGGGAACTCCGTAGGAGAGATAGGTGAACCACCTCTCTATGTCGGGTTCCCACCTGGCTTTGTTCCACTTCAGTCTCATTTTGGGGGGAATGATTATCCCTCTCTTCAAGATTTTCATTACCCCTATTTGGACTTGAGAGATCTTGTCCTGGAAAGTTTTGTTGAGCCGGTGGAACAAGGTGTTGCAAGAGCGTTGCATTTT